ATTTTTCATGCATGTAATGAGAATCGAGAAAAAGAATTAGTAAATGTTTAATGTTTATAGAAATAGTCATTATTTGACAATAGTCATTATTTGACACAAATGGTGCTAAAAATTTATTGAGCTAAGTTTCAATAACAGAAAAAACACTTATGACTATTAAGGTCAGGTTAACAGAAAAATAATATTTTTGATGTAATAAATGTTATAGAAATTACAACATTAAAAGCAAAGTCTGGATATAATAAAAGTTTTGCATGTAAGTTATCTTATGGTTTTGATAAATTTTAAAGTTATAGTGAACACTTGACAAACTTATATCAGGCAGATTGTGTTGTACTTACCAGATGTTATTTGTAATTTAATGGTTGTTTGCTATATAACCATTGCCTACTTGATATTGATTGAGCTATAGGACTTGGATTATAACCTGTCAAAATTGTCAATAAATAACAGTCCATCTGTTTTTTGTTTTGCATAATTTTCATAGTTAACATTACATTCCAATTAAATAAATGTTATAGTAATTTAATAAAATTAGATTTAAAGGGACTCCACTGAGGTTTTTTGACATGATGGGACTGGAAATAATTGTTCGAGATGAGGGTTTCATTTGATGTAGGTCTAGACCAAGAACTTGTTTGCAAGAGATAATTTGATCACTCCGATTTTTCCAGAGTAATTATTGTAATTGTGGAAAATTACAACTATTGAAAAGTGTTGCAATGCTTTTTACTTCAAATTTGGAGCTAAGAATAGCTAAAATATACAAATTTAAATTTATTTTTTAATATATTTCTTTTTTGTTTTGTATATCTTCCTGTTTTAAGTGACCAAGTTTGTCAGAGTAAGAATTTTAAATTTTATGATTTTAGACTTACCTCAGTGGAGTTGCTTTAATGTAATTCTGAAGAAATTACATGCCATTCCAAGTCTTGTTTAGTGAACTCAGATTTATAACTTACATTACAATACTCATTCAACAAATTTGATAGTTGATTAGTAATTTACCTGTATTTTCTGTAAGTCTTGTATTACAATTAATATATAAACAAGAATGCATCAATTAATTAGCTATCTATATTTTATAATATTGTGTCATAAGTCAAAAATTTCATTGAATCTGTGTTAATATTGATCATACCTTAATATGCTGAATTTTTAGCTCACCTGTCACAAAGTGACAGGGTGAGCTTTTGTGATCGCTTTTCGTCTGGCGGCCGTCCGGCGGCCGTAAACTTTTACTTTAAATGACATCTCCTCATAAACCACTAAGCCAATTTAATCCAAACTTCACAGGAATGTTCCTTTGGTGGTCACCTTTGAAAATTGTTCAAAGAATTTAATTCCATGCAGAACTCTGGTTGCCATGGCAACCAAAAGAAAAAACTTAAAATATCTTCTTCTAAAAAACCCAAAGAGGTAGAGCTTAGATTTTTGGCATGAAACATCTTCTAGTTAGTGTCTACCAAGTTTGATCAAATAAAAGCCCTTGGGTCAAAATTGGTCCCGCCCCAGGGGGTCTTTGATTTTCCCTATATGCATATAGTAAAAACTTAAAAAATCTTCTTTTAAAGAACCCAAAGAGCTAGAGCTAAGATATTTAGCATGAAGCATCTTCTAATGGATGTCTACCAAGTTTGTTCAAATAAAAGCCCCTGGGTCAAAATTGGCCCCGCCTCAGGGGGTCATTGAATTTCCCTATATGCATATAGTAAAAACTTAAAATAATCTTCTTTTAAAGAACCAAAGGAGCTAGAGCTAAGATATTTAGCATGAAACATCTTCTAATGGATGTCTACCAAGTTTGTTCAAAAAAAAGCCCTGGGGTCAAAATTGGCCCCGCCCCAGGGGGTCATTGAATTTCCCTATATACATATAGTAAAACTTAAAAAAATCTTCTTTTAAAGAACCAAAAGAGCTAGAGCTAAGATATTTAGCATGAAACATCTTCTAATGGATGTCTACCAAGTTTGTTCAAATAAAAGCCCTGGGGTTAAAGTTGGCCCCACCCCAGGGGGTCATTGATTTTCCATATATACATATAGTAAAAACTTAAAAAATCTTCTTTTAAAGAACCCAAAGAGCTAGAGCTAAGATATTTAGCATGAAACATCTTCTAATGGGTGTCTACCAAGTTTGTTCAAATAAAAGCCCTGGGGTCAAAATTTGCCCCGCCCCAGGGGGTCATTGATTTTCCCCATATGCATATAATAAGTAAAAACTTAAAAATCTTCTTATAAAGAACCAAAAGAGCTAGAGCTAAGATATTTAGCATGAAACATCTTCTAATGGATGTCTACCAAGTTTGTTCAAATAAGAGTCCTGGGGTCAAAATTGGCCCGGCCCTGGGGGTCATTGATTTTCCAAATTTCCTTATATGTGTATAGGAAAAACTTTAAAAATCTTCTTTGGAAAAAACCAAATAGCTAGAGTCTAGATATTAAGCATGAAACATCTTCTAGTGATTGTCTACAAAGTTTGTTCAAATAAAAGCCCTGGGGTCAAAATTGGCCCCACCCCTGAGGTCATTCATTTTCCTTATATGTGTAAAACTATAGCAAAAATTGAAAAATCTTTGAAAAATCTCAAATAGCTAGAGTTTAGATATTAAGCACGAAGCATCTAGTGAGTGTCTTCAAAGTTTGTTCAAATAAAGCCCTGGAGTCAAAATTGGCCCTGCCCCCGGGGGACATTGATTTTCCTTATACGTGTATAGCAAAAACTTAAAAATCTTCTTTGAAAAAACCCGAATAGCTAGAGTTTAGATATTAGCATGAAACATTTTCTAGTAAGTGTCTACAAAGATTGTTCAAATAAAAGCCCTGGGGTCAAAACTGGCCATGCCACAGGTGTGTCATTGTTTTTAACTATACGTGTAAAGAAAAAACTTTAAAAAATCTTCTTTTAAAAATCCCAACGAGCTAGACCTTAGATGTTTAGCATGAAACATCTTCTAATTGTTGCCCCGAGCTTTAAACTGGCCCTGCTCCGGGGGCCTATGTACAGGTGAGCGACTTCAGGGCCAACATGGCCCTCTTGTTTAAGTGAACTGGTCTTGCTTCCATTTTTGGAACTGTCCATTATCAATTTTGGGGATATCAAGATGAAAATTTGAAGTTGGCAAGCTTACAGAAATAGGGCTTGATTAGACTGCATGGATGTGCAGGTTGGTCTCTCTCTATGCTGGTAGCAGAGGCTAATCACTTTAAAGTCCAGCAAGTTAAGGGTTAGTAAAAATGTATTGTAATTTTGTAGTGTTATATTACTCTTGTTTCTTTTTTTCCGAAAAGCCTCTTTGCTCATCCCTTGTAAATTTGTTTATATTGATTAAGCGTATTCAAAATTCTGTATGTTGTAATTAAGGATGTAACAACACTTTAGTGTAGTTTTATATAATGTATATAATTATTCTTCTAAAACAATTCCAAACATCCAAGAATATGTTAAATATGTATTGCAAATGTTTATTTGCATTATAAGTAATCATTAAAATTTATTAATCCATTTCTTATTGAGAAATTTGGCCTAGACTTTATTGAAAATAATTTTCTAATTATCTCCTTTATTAACATGAAATGTAAAGATTGCAATGTAAAACATGATAAAATTTGAAAGTTGACTGTATTGAGTCTGATATGGCTGCATGGAAGTACAGGTTCAAACCTTTAATATTCCATTATTTCCTGTTGTTTTCAGATTAAATCTAAACTAAATTGTACCCTAAAAGTAGGGAATTCACTTTCTGTGCTCACAAAAAGTGAGTTAAATTGTGTAAGGTTGCAATACATGATACAGTGATTGGATAAAAACGCAAAAAATGATTCCATTTGAATTATATAGATGTGCAGTGAATGGTACAGTGTTTCCACTTCTACACTGCAGTAATGCAGAGATTTCTTCAATGATAAAGTTCACATGACTATGTTATTGTTAAAACATATAACACACAAAAAGTTATGATCTTTACCCATCCATGCAATAATAATGGCTATAATTTTCCAATGTTATATCTCTGAAGGCATTTGTTAATGAATGAACATAATTATGATTTTAGCCCATCTTCTTAAAGTCACATGAACACAGGATTTAACAATTTCAATTTTAAATTTATTTAAAGACAATTATACATTATTTTATCAATTTCTATACGATGACAAAACCAATTAAAAAGTTTTTAGCTGTAATATATGTATGTATTATGCCCCTTTTTCATGAAGAATTGTAATTACATGTATAGGGTGACCTGTGAAGACACATGTTCATGTAAATGTAAAAGTTGGGGAACATAATATTAAACACATGATTGATACTTATAATACCATTACTAATGACTATTCAAAGGTTGTTTGTTTTTTCTTTAAAAAAAGTTTATTGTTACTTTGTTCCTTGTTTATTGATATTGTTATAATCTGTTTGTATTAAATATTAAAATCTGTAAAAAAAACCCCAAAAAATTATCGTCTTTTTATTTTTAAGTGTGAAAATTCAACTACTCCCCCAGGGGTCAGTAGAACACTTTGGTTTAAGTCTTGTACAACAACATATCAACCACAACAGATGCTTGCTTGTGACCACAGACATAACTTTTAGATCACTGTTAAAGGTCCATGACTCTAGAATGGATTTTGATAGAATTATGGCCCCTTGTGAATTAAGAAAATTGTTGGGTTAAGTTTAACATGCAACACCATATTCTTCAAAATTACTGAAGGTATTGATTAACTTAAAACTTGGAAACTTAAAGCTGATATTGATAACAGGGTCATACAGCGATATAACAGGTAGGCTATACTGTACTGTATAGATACATACACTTTACAGTACTAGTAATAATAGATAATACAAAACCTTGGTTTAAATTCATTTCCTATATTTATCATTCTATAACTAGTTAATGTCATTTTCATGATAATAAACTGACATAAAAAAATATAAAGTCTGTTTTGAATAAATAGGAACACAATATCTATAGTGGAGTATTACCCGTTACTGTAAATAGATTGTCATAAACTATAAATTTTACGCCGTGATCACCAAGATAAACAATATGGCGGCATGACTGATAAAAGTGCTAAACTAGTGCGTAACTGAAGAAATCAAAGACTTGAAAAGCAAATAAAGTTTAATTAGGTAAGTATTTTTTAGTTAAATTGTATTTTAACATAGTTCAGATTATTTTCTCACATGGTCAGTGTCTTAGAAGGTCCAATTTTAATTTAGCCTACCTGTTCCCAAAGGGATACGACTCATTGAATGTTCACAAAATATGTATTTGATGGTAGAAAACATTTATGCTTGGTCAGAAATGAATTCTTAGTCCTTTCCCATTACACTATATTCTAATATATGACAGTCTATATATTAGTATATAGTGTAATAGGAAAGGACTTAGAATGGGAGAGTTTCTAGATAATCCTGCAGAGTTATCTCTGCAGCGCCCCTGACAAATAAGAGGTATACACCTGTATGCTGGCTATCTCTGTGTATAGCTGGTTTACATTGAATTTCAATGGGATAATGCAGAGTATTTAATCAACTGATCTAAATTAATAAGCTAAAGTTTATATTTCAAAGTAAACTGATTAACACTGCAGTCTTAGAAATGGTGAATTACTGTTGTGTTCCACTTTGTAATGAATTTTTCCACAAGACGAATAAATGGAGAGTAGCAGTAAAGAAGTAAAATGAAGTTATGGTCTCGCACATTTGCCATGCCAATAATGATAAAAATGTTAGTTATGGCTTCCAACACTTTATTAGCCGCTATTTAACATTTTTGTTTTTCATCTGATGCGGCATCTGATCTGTTCACGTCATGTCATAGTATATAAACGGGTTAGCTGAAGACCTTAAGCTGAATTCTAGATAAGTTCTAAATTCTAGATAAATTCTTAAGCTGACAAAATTGAAAAAGAAACCAATGTTTGGCAATTCCATTCAAAATTCGCTTGTTAAAACCTGGAAAGAATGTTCGTGCATGTCGGTCGTGCATACAGAAAATGTGTCAGGTATCAGTCCGAGTTGCATAATCTTATCAATCAGTCAAGCTCATTTTTATTTTTCTCCATGATGCATGTAATGGTCTCATTGGCCTCCCTGTATCATCACAAAATCGTAGGGATGTGCGGTATTACCGGTATACCGGTATACCGCGGTTTCGTTCAGACGCGGTACGTACCGGTACGACCCCTAGGAATACCGGTTTTTTAATATATATAATTTTACATAATATTTTTGTAAGATTCGGACGTTATTTACCCTGTAATCTGTGTTTCAACTTTCAACCTAAATTAAAGTGGAATTCCAAGTCTATTTTTAGAGCAGCAGTAAATGCACAGTATAATACTCTAACGAATAATTAGTCGCGGAAAGGTCGGATCGTTTCCCGGTTGTTTTTCATATTTATTATGTAGTGTAAATACATTTCATCCGCCGACATTTTTATAATTTCTATATATCATTCTTCATTTAAATGCATTAAAAGGGGACACCCATGTTAGTGCTCAGTCTAAGGCTAGTAAACATGTTGACGTATTGACGAGTGGCGACAATAACAAAACGTAAAGCATTTAGACATAGCCCAACTTGTAAACAGCTCATACCGTCATGGGAATTGCCATTTTTCTGTTTTAGATTTTGTTGAAAATATTATCAAGACAATAAGGTTATTTTCTTCTTTCTTTTATTTATTATTTTCCAGTCAGGTAGACAGATGTTAGTTGAAAGAAATAAAGATATTAATCTGTTTTTCTAAAATGTATTGTGTTTATCAAAATGTTTAAACATTCTTATGGCAGTTGGTCTTAGTTTGCATAAGTTAAACATTAAAAAGTGTCTTCATAATACCGTGGTACATACCGCGGTACACAGGTGAAATACCGTGATATACCGCGGTACAAAAAAATTGGTGGTACCCATCCCTACAAAATCGACTTGCATACATATTTAGTATCATTCAATGAATTACTGAATTCAAAATTTATAGGTCACCTTTTGGTTGATAGTAACATTTCAGGACATGAATGGTGACATGTCCGGGGTCCGTACTCCTCAATGAGACTAGAATACATACATACACCTTACGCTATCAAATTGTCATAACAATTAATAATAATAATCACCCCTTGATCATCAAGAACAAAATTACTATACAAAATATGTTTTATATGCCAGTAGTAATAGTAAATTTTTGTTGCCTGTAGTCAGAGACAGGTACATAGCATCAAAACTGATACATGTAGAACGGGTAATAGGATTTGCAAAGCAATTGAAAATTCTGAAATCAGAACTTCCTGCAGCTATAATTAAACAGGGGTCACATACGTCTGTTTCATGATTCTAAATTGTTGACAAACTAGCTTGATTGTAGAAAATATTTAAGTGATTTGACATACTAGAATGGAATATCATGAATCATACAATACGCAGTTGATACTCATTAATAATAAAGACAGATATATAATGTGAAAATTTTATCAGACACACATTATTAAGATTATGTCACGTTTTAATGCACATACAAGTACATCTTGCATTTTTACATGTAATAAAGTATGTAAAACTGAGCTAAATTGGCCTGGTAGCAGAATGGGTTCTGGGTTTAAAGTCTAAATTTCTGTCATACATCTCCAATCTGTAAAAATTATATAACTGGATGCATTTTATGTACTAAAGAACAAATTTGAAGCAATAAACTCTATATCATTATATTTATTTGAAGCATCATAAATTTACAAATATACCAAAATAGATTATATCAATCAGATTGCATAATTCACTTTAATTAGTTCTACGTAAATAATGTATGTAATGGCATTATATTTTAAAAGTTTTAACAGGACAAAGAGTTGATTATTTCTCCAAGATCATTTTCATACTGTTATTCAGTCTGCATTGTCTACATTGTACAGTTGAAAAATAAAGCAGTTTATATGTTTAAGATTTAATTTGTTAAATATAATAACCTTAATATTAAATGATAAAATCTTCTTTTATTCCTGTGGCTGAAGCCCCTTTGGTAATTAATTATTTCTTTAATTTAACAACTGACCAGTCAAAATACTCTGAAACCTTCTATTAACCTCTGTGTTTACATCAAGTGGCCGTAGTTTGTATACCTCTTATTTACTACTTCCGCTTATCAGTAGAGTGTGGGAAACTCCCCCATTCATTTCTGACCAAGCATAAATGTTTTCTACCATCAAATACATATTTTGTGAACATTCAATGAGCCGTACCCCTTTGGTACACATAATAAGATGTCTGTTCCTGTCATTTGTTTTTTTCTTAATTTGTTGAATTTTCAAAATTGTCAAAATCTCGACCTAGGCTATTCCCCAAAACGTGAAACAGAAAAAAACACTGAAATTTTTATGTTAGTTAATTACCAATAATGCCAGTTTTTGATTTATAATTTTCATAACTTTTTTTAATTTTTCAGACACACAAATTGTATATAAAAATGTTCAGCAAAAAATCGAAATCACAGAGCTGGTCTCCTAACAAGGCCTTAAAAGATGACCCGGAGCAAGTGAAGCGTCTGAGTAACTTGCTTAAAATAAGATCCGAGCATGAACAAACAATTGCTAAAACTGGCTGGGATAGCTACCAGCGGGAGCTCGTGAGTATATCGACAATTTATACCAAATAAGTTTTTTTTTTAATCAATTATTTATCTTTTCAGAATTAGTTTACTGTTATATTATTAATAATTGAATTTTATCAAAGTTAATATTATGGATCACTCAGTGATTACTCAAACTTATGATTTATAAGACAGCCAGAAATTAAAAGTTACAATTAAAAAATGAATGCACCTCGACAGTCAAGTCAAAACTTAAAATCATTCCAGTTCTGATACACTGTGTTTTTCTGTGATTTAAATGTTTTATGATATGCAAATTATGGGATAGTTGGCGTCTTGTAGAGAAATTTGTAATAATGGACTGTAATCCAAGAAAGCTGGATAGGTGGACCAACCACCAGGATTGGATAAAAAACATGTTAAGGTCATTGTAAAAACAAGATGAGCATAGGTAAGTCTGTTATCATTATACAACATGCTTCTTTATCAGCATATTTCAGTCTGCTTTTAAGCCTTAGTCTTAAAAGGACAGAGAAACATGTAAAAATACAGCAATAATTAATTGTAAGATAATTTAAATTAAAAGGTGCTTACATTTCATTGCTAATTTGACAGTGTTTAATAAATTCAGCAAAACAACCAGATGTTGAAAGGATTATTCAAGAAACTAGATCCATCTGTAATGAGGACAACAGGTGATCTCAAAGGCGAGATTCAACTGTCATTTAAATATGAATTCAACAATGAAATGCTCCTCATAAAGGTTATCAAGTGCAGGGATTTGGTCAACAGGGACATCAGGGCAAAAATGTCCAACTTTTTTGTGAAGGTTTGTATCTAAACACAACTGCATATGTTGAATTATATTACCACTACATTGTTTTATTAAGCATCAATGATTGTAGGAATTAAAGTATTTATCATTTGCTTGTACCTATGTATACATCACCTTACGCCTCAACATTTACATGTTTAAGTACATAATTATGGTTAATGTCATATATGATAAGTTACTCTTTGGCAAAATGTAACATCATAATATTTTTTTTTTTCGATAGCTTGAGTTGCTTCAGGATCCACTGAACCAAGGTGAGAAAAAGACCCAGGTTATGCATGGAACCAACAAGCCTAGATTTGATGAAATCTTTGGATTTTGTATTCCAGAACAGGGCTTAGGTACTATTCTTTTATTGTATAATCTACACAATTTATTCAAACATTGTAAAACTATATAATAATAAAAACTGAAATGCTTATATAACAATATAATTATTATATTGTTATATAAGCATCAGCCATCTCATTTTTTTATTGTTTCTGGTATTGCCCATGTGACTTTTCATAGGATGAATTGACCATTAACATGCCAAATATGTAAAATAGACTTGTATATCTTTCAATATGGATAAAAACATTTGTCAAGTTTTGCGAAATTTTCAAAATATATACAGATTAAATAGGGAACAGTGCCGATCATAATCAGACAGCATTGTGCCCACTGATCTTGCTTTGCACTGGTTGTATGGATAGCATGTGTTGCCACCATTAGGCTAAATCTTAAAGATCTGTCAGGGACTTGTCATTAACTTTCTAGCTAATGAAGCCCAAGCCTCATTGTTAAGACTGAATTTAATGTGAAGTCTAAATTGATGTTATCTCAAGACCTTCTGTATATATAAATATTGAATATAAGTCATAAAGTGCCTCTTACCTTGCCAGAAATATTTTTATTATAAAACATGCATGTCAGCTTTCCTTTAATGCTTTTGACTTCATCTAAACTTTTTCAAGTAAAATACTGATTTTTTTAAAAGTTTCTTGTGATGGATAATGTAAAGACAGTAATGTAATGTATAAAAGATGTATTTTATTATTTATATTTCAATAGGTGAAACAAAGTTGATTGTTCAGGTATGTGAACACAGCTTGGGAGGGAATGATGATGTCAAAGGTGAAGTGATCATTCCTCTGAATTCATTCTCTTTCCGAAGTGAGCCTACACATACAGCCTGGTATGCTCTCAATAATGAGGTATGTTTACAAGAACACATTCTTGTTTTAATAATGAACCTACAGAACACTGAACATGATGACAAATGTTAACGTTCTAATATTCCTTGTGAAGGAATAATAATATCTGTCATATGTTAAGGTTCGGATTGGAATATCCGTCTCGAGGGTATCCCGCCCACTGGGCGGGTACCTAGTTGACAGATATTTCGATCTGAACTGCAAACATATATTTTTTCTTGCATATTCTGCATATTCTATCATATTTAAAATGGTTTACCTTAATAAGATATTTTGATCATGGAGATTGATGACATTTCATCCATAACTATTTTCTTCAATAGCAACAACCAATTTTATAGGCTCACAAATTGACTTAAAGCTAGCAAGATAGCTTTTTCAGCCAATTAATGTATATCAATCTTGTACTGTTTTCTTATAACTGAAATTAAACCACTTATACATATATCAAATTTTGATTTTCAGACTGACTTGAGTATCTCAGGAAATATAGATGTCAGTATAGCATTCCAGCCACCAAGAACGCTGCTGGTCACTGTACATGGTGCCAATAACCTGGCCCCTAGAGATGAAGGGCAAACTGCCGACCCCTTTGTGAAGGTTGCTGTCCCTGGTTGTGATCATGTGTTCCAGTCTCAGGTATGGACATGTAAATTTTGTTTGTGATATAATGTTTTGTAGTTTTTAATGTCAAGTTGATCATATAACATTTCTTGTTATGAATATAAAATGATCATAGCATATATCTTTATATTATTATACTGGAGTGTCCTTTTTTGTTGTTGTTGTTTTACACATTTAAATATTATGTGAGAAATAGAAACTTTCAGTCTTTTAATATTGAATTACATAAACCAAAAGCCTGCTGGCTATTGAATTTACTGAATTTACCCATATGACAAGTGTAGACCAAGATCATAATAACTTTCAAAATAATTGGATAGTAAAATTGTATATTCATGACTTAAGCAACCAATATGTAGAGTTTTTTTGGATTTTTTTTTTAACTTAAAAGTATTAAATATGTCTGAAAGTTTTCATCTTTATTAGGTTCTGAAATGTCTATTTGCATTTAAGCAAATATATTTAGTTACAAATTGTTAAATTAATAAAATCTGATTTGTTAACCAGTTATGTTAAATTGTTAACCAGTTATGCAATCTGTTATGCTAACCAATTATGTTAACCAGTTATATCAACCAGTTAATTTAACTAGTTATGTTAACCAACTAGTATGTTGAAATAAAATATTATTGTAAGAATGATATTTTGACATGCAGGTGTGGAAAAACACATTAAACCCTGCGTGGTCAGAGACTTTTGAGTTCCCACTTCACGAGGAAGAATTCCATGACAAGTAACTTAATTTTGTTATCAATCTCACATGTAACGGCTTTTACTTTCACAATTATTGTTTCCTCATTACATACTTAATACTCTATGATAGAAAACATAGTTAATCTGATATTAATTATTTATTCAGTTAATGTATGGTAAAATTTATTCATTTATCATTATGAAATTTCTATTTTTGTTAGAAAACATCAATGCACAAGATTGAATATATTTTTTTAAATCGGGATTTCCTAAGAATTTGTAACATTTTCAAAAGTGGGTAGCAGGTAGCTGGGCATAATCAGTGCATTCTATGCACCACTCCACTACTCTAAACTTTTCCATGGATGTCATACACAGAATTTATTTAAGGATCTAAAGGAGATGTATTAATATCTAAGTAAATTTTAAATATTTCCCTAAAAATTAGTGAATTTCTTTTACAGAATATGCTCATCAAAAATTATAATTATATTCTTGTTGCTCACAGGTACATCATATTCCATGTGATAGATCAAGTAAAATCAGGCAATGATTCTCTCGGACAATGTATTGTTGAACTTGACAAGTTAAACCCAGACATTGGAATTAACGGAAGCTTTGAACTGTCAGATCTGGTGAGTATAGTAAAGTAACATTTACTGTTTTTTCATAGTTAGATCGGGTGATTTTTTAACACTTCTTTTTGAGTTCTGTCCATTTTATCTTAAGCCCCATATGCTTTGAGTACCAAATGGAGCTCATTAAAGGTATTGATAGGTGTTGGTGTTGTAATGCTAGTATTGTCTTTGATCATTAATGGGGGAAGGGGGTATTTTAAAATGTATAGCATTATTATTAACCTGACAAATGTTCAGGATATCTAAACTACTCGACTGGTTTTTTAGCTCGACTATTCGCAGAATAATCGAGCTAATGCAGTCACCCATTTGTCGGCGTCGGCGTCGGCGTCCCTGTGGTTAAGTTTTTGTATGTAAGCTGGTATCTCTATAACTACTGAAGGGAATGGATTGAAACTTCACACACTTGTTCTCTGTGATTATCTAAGATGATTGGCACAAGTCCCATAACTCTGATTTGCTTTTTTTCATAATTATGCCCCTTTTTCGACTTAGAAATTCTTGGTTAAGTTTTTGTATGTAAGCTGGTATCTCCTTAACTACTGAAGGGAATGGATTGAAACTTCACACACTTGTTCTCTGTGATTATCTAAGATGATTGGCACAAGTCCCATAACTCTGATTTGCTTTTTTTCATAATTATGCCCCTTTTTCGACTTAGAAATTCTTGGTTAAGTTTTTGTATGTAAGCTGGTATCTCCTTAACTACTGAAGGGAATGGATTGAAACTTCACACACTTGTTCTCTGTGATTATCTAAGATGATTGGCACAAGTCCCATAACTCTGATTTGCTGTTTTTCATAATTATGCCCCTTTTTCGACTTAGAAATTCTTGGTTAAGTTTTTGTATGTAAGCTGGTATCTCCTTAACTACTGAAGGGAATGGATTGAAACTTCACACACTTGTTCTCTGTGATTATCTAAGATGATTGGCACAAGTCCCATAACTCTGATTTGCTTTTTTTCATAATTATGCCCCTTTTTCGACTTAGAAATTCTTGGTTAAGTTTTTGTATGTAAGCTGGTATCTCCATAACTACTGAAGGGAATGGATTGAAACTTCACACACTTGTTCTCTGTGATTATCTAAGATAATTGGCACAAGTCCCATAACTCTGATTTGCTTTTTTACATAATTTTGCCCCTTTTTCGACTTGGAAATTCTTGGTTAAGTTTTTGTGTGTAAGCTGGTATCTTCATAACAAATGAAGGGAATTGAATGAAACTTCACACACCTGTTCTCTGTGATTATCTAAGATGATTGGCACAAGTCCCATAACTCTTATTTGCTTTTTAACATAATTATGCCCCTTTTTCGACTTAGAAATTCTTGGTTAAGTTTTTGCGTGTAAGCTGGTATCTCCATTACTACTAGAGGGAATGGATTGAAACTTCACACACTTGGTCTCTGTGATTATCTAAGATGATTGGTACAAGTCCCATTACTCTGATTTGCTTTTTTGCATAATTATGCCCCTTTTTCGACTCATGAATTCTTGGTTAAGTTTTTGCATGTAAGCTTGTATCTCCATAACTACTGAAGGGAATGTATTGAAACTTGAAGAGTTTGTACCTTTTCGGACAATTTTATGTATTCATATAGGTAAGCATTATTATACTCAGTGAAACACCCTTGTGACAAATTTTCGAATAGTCGAGCGTTACTGTCCTCCGACAGTTCTTGTTTTAGAAATAAGAATGCGGAATGGCAACTAGAAGTAACTGGTAAATCAAGTACTCAATCAGACATCTGATTATTGGTTCTTGAATATATGGTGTGAAATACACTATGAATTAAAGTTCTAGTAATATACATATGAGCCGCGGCATGACAAAACTAACATAATGGGTTTGCAACAAGCATGGATCCAGACCAGCCAGCGCATCCGCGCAGGCTGAATAGGATCCATGCTGTTCGCTTACCAACACTATTACAAGTGGAGAAACTGACAGCGAACAGCATGGATCCTGATCAGACTGCGCGGATGCTCAGGCTGGTCTGGATCCATGCTGGTCGCAAACCCACTATGTTGGTTTTGTCATGGCGCGGCTCATATATATGTGTATTAATGTACTAGTTTACATAATTTATAAGAACAATGAGGGACATGTTACCATGTGATTAAAACTTAAGTCAAAAAATGTCAATGTTTACAGACTCCAGGTTTTCTTGACCTTTTAATTTTTCATATATAAAGTTTTCTGTTAAAACAAAATTACTTTGAAGTGATCGATAAAGAAACAGATCCATCTAGAAATTTTGAAGGTAAAGAACAAAAGACAGTTCATTCATAATTCATCAGGTCCTTCTTATATATATTCACTTTGATTGGAAAATTTTCTAAGTTAAATCTGCATGCCTTCAGATTTGTGTTAACCGTAAAGTTCCTGTTAAATGCCTCCAGGGGCTAAACATTTTCCAACAGGGGGGCTATTATTACAACAACACAGTTTTTCCTAAATCCAAAAATCTTTGTAAATACATTAAGTGTTAGCAAGTGTTGATTATAACATTAAAAACTGATAAGGTTTTAAAATTTATATGATACATTTTTGTGCTTCCTATGAAATAAAATGGAGTCTGAAGTATTTGAATAAAATTATAGTGTTATGGTCTTAAGATCAGCACTGATGAAAAGATTTTATCCATATCAAAAAGCCTGGGGGGGAGGGGCTTTTATGAGGGGAGGGGCATTTGATAGGAATTTTACGGTATTTTCATGCAAATGTTCTGCTTATTAAAAAATGAGTCAAGTATAGAAATAATGTAATATAACCTAGCCCAAAGAACTTACTATCCCCAAAGTTTACATATTACATGAATACATGTCAAACTATGAGAAATAACCCATAATATTATACATTCATAGCAGGGTAGAAATATGCTAATGAAAATAAGTAAATTCTGATTTGAAAATGTGAAGTTTTGAATACTTTTGTGAACATTTAAACTATTGATATATTTCCATTAAGTTTGAGTTGTTGAAAATTTATTTATCTGCTGCTTTAAAGCAGAAAATTGTTACCTTTACCACGCTAAATATCTTAAAGATCCTGTAACACAATTTTTTAGCTCGACTATTCGATAAGAATAAGTAAAGCTATTGCAGTCACCCGAGCGTCGGCGTCGGCGTAACCACTTATGTTTAAGTTTTTGTAATAGTTCAAATATTTTCAAAGTCCATAGACATATGGCTTTGAAACTTTGCACACTTGTTCACCATCATGACCCCAACCTGTAGACAGGAGGAGGTAACTCTATCAAGCATTTTGACAGAATTATGCCCCTTTTTCGACTTAGAATTTACGTTAAAGTTTTTGTAATAGTTCAAATATTTTCAAAGTCCATTGACATATGGCTTTGAAACTTTGCACACTTGTTCAACATCATGAATCCAACCTGTAAACAGGAGGAGGTAACTCTATCAAGCATTTTGACTGAATTATGCCCTTTTTCGACTTAGAATTTACGTTAAAGTTTTTGTAATAGTTCAAATATTTTCAAAGTCCATTGACATATGGCTTTGAAACTTTGCACACTTGTTCACCATCATGACCCCAACCTGTAAACAGGAGGAGGTAACTCTATCAAGCATTTTGACAGTATTATGCCCCTTTTTCGACTTAGAATTTACGTTAAAGTTTTTGTAATAGTTCAAATATTTTCAAAGTCCATTGACATATGGCTTTGAAACTTTGCACACTTGTTCACCATCATGACCCCAACCTGTAAACAGGAGGAGGTAACTGTATCAAGCATTTTTTTTACTATCAAGCACTAAGAATAGTCGAGCGTTGCTGTCCTACCGACAGCTCTTGTTTTAATGGTTTTATATCATAAATATGGTGCTCAAATTAAGATTTATCAATATTGTAAGTTCCGAAAAGCATAATTTATAAAGATATTACCAAATTTAACATTTCATGAAATAAAGGGAGGTAATTAGAAATTTATTTTCTGTAAAGTCTTAGTCAAATTTTTCAGTAAGAAGTGAATGCATATATTTCAATGATTACATATAATGTGGACAAATATTTGCAGTACATATTTTACATATTCTTTGATGTTTGAAAATTGTTTAAGAAGCATAATTATATACATATATATAATTTAACAACCTTAATTACAACATGCAGGATCTTTAAATTGACTATTTTTCAATCTGACTGGAATAGAAATTATTTTTATTGGAATTTCAAAATATGTACTAAATGAGGAGCAAACAATGCAGACCATGATCAGATAGCACAAAAGGGATGGCTGATCTTTGTCCGCACTGGTTAGCAAGGGTAACTCTTGTGCTGTTCACTATTCAGATAGTTTATATTTAGAAATTTTCACTTATTACTATAAATGTTTTTGCCCCACTTGAAAGATGGTAAGTCCAGTTAAAATATTTAGTAATTTGTTAAAAAATGAGATAAATACTTGCAACTTAAAGTACAGACTTGAGGTGATAACACATCATGTAGTATTGTCTAATCTATTATTTGATCTATACAGAGGAACAATGAGCGTGTAAGGGCTAAGGTGTACCAGAATCGTGTGGCTCAGGAGTTTCGTGAGGCACTGATGTCACACTCCGAGGCACGAGCTCCCGGCTGCCTCTTCAAGAAACATCGTGGTGGAAAGGTATTTAGAATTTTTGTTATTGATGTAATATGTCTTCTAGAGTATGTCATTCATCCACAAAATTGTGCAGGGCCGGCTAAATCTGATTTTGACTTATTAGTCTGTTTTTGTGTCGCCTCTACGGAGTAGTGGCGACATATAGGGATCACTTCTCCGTCGTCTGTCCGTCCGTCTGTCCGTCCGTCCGTCACAAAACTTGTCCGGACTACTCCTCATAAACTACTGGTGCAATTTCATCCAAACTTTACAGGAATGATCAGTACCAAGTCTAGTTGTGCATATTGTCAGCATTTTCCGGTTCAATGATTTTTGTCAGAGTTATGGCCCTTTAATAATTTTTAATTGTAAAGTTTGTCCGGACTACTTCTCTTATACCACTAATGCAATTTCAATGAAACTTTACAGGATTGATCTGTAGCTCAAGTCCTTGCGCATATTGCAGGGGTTTTCCGGTTGAATGATTTTTGGCCGAGTTATGGCCCTTTGATAAAAAGGTGTTTTTTTCTGTGTGTTGCCAGATACACAAAAGCTTGTCCGGACTACTCCTCATAAACTACTGGTGCAATTTCATCCAAACTTTACAGGAATGATCAGTACCAAGTCTTGTTGTGCATATTGTCAGCATTTTCCGGTTCAATAATTTTTGTCAGAGTTATGGCCCTTTAGTAATTTTTATTTTTAAAGTTTGTCCAGACTACTGCTCTTATACCACTTATGGAATTTCAATGAAACTTTACAGAATTGATCTGTAGCTCAAGTCCTTGCGCATATTGCACGGGTTTTCCGGTTGAATGATTTTTGGCTGAGTTATGGCCCTTTGATAAAAAGGTGTTTTTTTCTGTGTGTTGCCAGATACGCAAAAGCTTGTCCGGACTACTCCTCATAAACTACTGGTGCAATTTTATCCAAACTTTACATGAATGATCAGTACCAAGTCTTGTTGTGCACTGTCTGTCCGTCCGTCTGTCACAAAATTTGTCCCAACATGAAATTGGCCATTATGAGGCGACACATGTGATTACTGATCGCTCTTGTATTTGAAACATTGTTTGTTTGTTTGTTTCATTTTACGCCTTTTCCCAAAGTATACAACAGTATTTCAGTCATATAAGCGGGTAGTTTTCCGTACCATCGTTCCTGGAGAGTTACACCAGTACTAGACTACCTTTCTCCGTGCTAAACTACCAAAGCATCTCCCGGGGATCGAACCCACGTTTCTACTTGTCTGTATGATATTTATAAAGAAAATTCAGGGAAATTTTATTTTGTCTGTATAAGCTTGTCTGTATAAGCTTGTGGACAACCTAGGCGGTACGGACAGTTGATTTTGCCACTTCTGTTGTGAAGTGGTACTTCAGTTGACTTTACTTAGAACTACTCTTATCCTAGAAAACAGAAAAAATAGAGAGATGTACAAGAACCCTTTTGAGTTATTTTATCTTCCCTGTATGAGATAATTTATTAGTGCTGTTTTAATACAAGTTGTGATGATGAGAATTTAAAGTCAGAAACATATTGAAGGTCACATGCCACCAAGGTCACTGTTGATTTTCAATCTGAAAAAGATAGAAAAAGGAAAAAGATAGAAAAAAGGCATCATTGGACACATGTTTCAAAAGTATATGGATTGAAACTTGACTAGAAATACAAAGATCACCTACAATTAATTAACTGAAAGAAATGGGTTGAAATTTCACACACTTGTTCTCAGTGATCATCTAACATGATAGGAACAGGTCCCATAACTGTGACTTGCCCCTCACCGCTGTGGGTTCGAATCCCAACAGGGACTTTGGATTCTTTCATGTGAGGAAGCTATCCAGCTAGCTTACGGAACGTCGGTGGTTCTACTCAGGTGCCCATTTGTGCCTGAAATAATGCTTCGAAGGGCACCCGAGGTCTTCCTCCACCAGTAAAAGCTGGAACGCCGTAATATGGCCTATACTGTGTCGATGTGACGTAAAACCCAATCAAACAAACAAACATAACTGTGAATTACCTTTTTATAGAGTTATGCCCCTGTCTAACAGTCAAGCACTGAGAATAGTCTGGCACATTGTCTTCAGGACAGCTCTTGTTAAGTTTTATTTATTTATTTGCTTTGAATTTGGAAAGTCCTTTCTGAGTTTTATTTAAAAACTAACACAGTAATGAGCACCAGTACAACTTTCAAAAAAGAAAAAAAAAGAAAAAAAGAATAAATAAATAAAGTCTGGCATGTGTTTATACTGTTGGCATGGGCAAATTGTAATTGACACTTGAATTTTCTAAGGGTTAAAGACTTAATCTAAATAATACATGTTTATTAAAAAGTTTTAAAAAAAAAAGAATGAATTTTTCGAAAAAATGATAGAATTATCTGAAATACTTTGGTTTATACTGAATTTATTTTAGTTCAATTGTGTAGGAAGCTTATAGCTTATAGACACACTTTCGAATCTTTTCCTGGAACCAACAAGTACTGAGCAATAAGTGTAAAATTTCTTGCTCAAGGGAACAAAAGCTTACTCCTGACAGGGTTTGAAACCATGAGGATTTTGGTCCTAAGATCATTAGTCTGACCCATTTACCACTCGACCATACAGCCATTAGTAAGATTTTGTCAAGATGGCTTTATATCATGTGGGTTTTATACGCCTGTTTGCTGTTTGAAAAAACTGGTCAGTTATAAGGGCGCCCCTGGCAGACAGGTGGTCTGGCAAGCGGATGGGCAGTGTCCAATTTTATCCGGAGCATATCTTCTGCACGCATGGAGGAATTTTAATGAAACTTCATAGAAATGTTCACCAACCACTATGAGAAGCGCGTACATAAACCAGGTCTCTAGGTCAAAGGTCAAGGTCACAGTTAGAGGTCATTGAAGAACTCTTGTCTCTTTATAGATTTTGTCAGGAGCATATCTCTTACATGCATGGCAGGATTCTTTTGAAACTTCATAGAAATGTTTTTGCACTATGACAAGCAGTGTCACATGCTTGAACCAGGTCTCTAGGTTAAAGGTTAAGGTCATTGTAAAAATGCTTGTATGGAGCAAAATGTCTACATTCAACAGGGGATTTTAATGTAATTTGGCACAAATGTTCACCATTGTTAGGCTAAGTATATGTATTTTGCGCAAAAACCAGGTCCCTGCTACCATAGTCAAGGTCACATAGAGAGGTCAAAGTTAAGATAAAAATAGAAGATATGTACAGGGACCATTTTAGACATCATAATAAATTATTGATGGATTATAACACAAATGATAACAAGTGTGACATACGTAATCTAGGTTAATATTTGCAAGGTCAAGGTCACTAGAGATGATTAAATATCTAGATATTGACAGGATATTGCCCAGAGCATATCTCCTTTATGCATATCTATAATGCAAACATCTCTGTCAAAAGCTTTGTGATGGGCGTATTTTGTGACAATTTTGCCCTTGTTTGAACATAAATTTATGCACTGGTTTTTTCAATTTACAAAACTCTTTTCTTTACAAAAACATATGTTAGGATATAACTAGAAAAGGGGTTTGATTCATCCAATTTACTACTGAATAATTGTAATTATTGAGAATCATTCATTATTATTTTAATTGAACCTGTTCCGTCAGAACACTTGCAGATAACATGTTCTAGCTATCAGCAGTGTAATAAGATATATTTTTTATAGTGGTGTTATCCTGTCTGATAAGCCTTTGCTACCATAATAGAGCCAGGCTGGCCTTCGCTACCAAAGTGCAGTCGGACCAGCGTCTATAATGTCGGAAGCACAATTTTTGTATTTTGATATTAAAATCTCTAAAAATTTAAACTGAGTTCCAACTTCAAAACTGGGTGAATACATTACTCAAATTTAGCAGGTTTGAAGCTAAATTTTAAGGCGCTATAGTTATTTTTTATATCCCGGAATCATGTTTCATCTTTAGACAAAACTATCTGTTTTATCTGTTTATATGGGTACCGTCAGTTTTTAGCTAAAAACCTGTTACCAAATTCAATAACCGGTAACTGAGGTTAGTATTTGACTAAGGGGCAGAAAAGTTTTAAATTGATTAAAAATATTACCTTATTTTTTTATGACAAGATATGACAATTGTTTGTATTTTTAGTTGTACTCAACAATGTACTTTTCCGATCCGATCAAATACTTTATGACCCTAGCAGAAAATAGTTACTCCATATTCGAATATGTATTGTAATCATTTTAAGTATAACAAAATATGAACAAAGTGGCATATCTTAACATAAAGAAACAAAGTTAATGTTGAAAATCAAAGGATTTTATTAGTACGGTCAGTTAAAAATTTAATGTGGTTTTTATGTCGCCGTTAAGCATTTTTTTCTAACCGTGACACCCCTAGACAAAACATTGAAACACTGGTTTATGTTTCCACTTTTATTTCACTTAAAATGGTTTAAACTCAGTTGAATTGTTACACAAGCCACAGATATATTTGAAAACAGAATATTTTTGTAGTTTTATATATTAATTTAGAGTTTCAGTTCATATGGTACCGGTATACTCAACAATATATTCATACCATAATTTTACAAACTCTTGCTAGAAAACTATCAATACTTCCATCAATTTTGAATGTAAGGGAGCAAACTCATTGCTTGCTTGCCTGATCTGTTTGTGGAAGTTGCCTCCCTTTAATTGTGATTTGATTGAATATGTTGTGAGTTTTGCACAGATATAATTGGAGTCATTATTGAAATTAATTTTAAATTGATTGTGTCATTGTATGTGACAGATGTTTACATTTGCTTAAAAATACTCATTATTGGAAATAACACTTAAACTGCAGGTAAGGCTGCTTTGTTTGTAATTCAGTTGAAATGTTAATTAAATAAAAGAGGCACTGATACAGTTATATGGATTTTTGTTGTCTATATTTTACGTAGGTGTGTCTCAGACTTCAAGGAATGTTTGAAATTCAAGGAAACTTTTTGCGGAGCACGTAAATTTCTTTTTTTTTTATGACGTATTTAAACTAGGGTTTAAGTAGTAAA